TCAAAATAGGTGACATGAACTCTGCCTTCTTTCATCGCTCAGTTTGATTGTAGCAGAAAAGAAGCACTATGAGAATGCTTAAAAACGAGTCAGAGGAACAAGTTCAGGATGTTGTGGAGATGGCCCAGATTGCAGTGAGGTTTTATGAGAATCTTTTGGAAGTGGTAGATCCGGAAGTTGAGCATCAAACAGATGCATTCTTTGATGGATTTCTGAAGAACAAACTTAGTGACGAGCAGACTGAGGGGCTTTGTGATCCATTTACTGATGAGTAGATAAGGGAATGTTTGCAATGGATGGTGATAAAAGTCCAGGACCTGATGGTTTCTCTGCGGCTTTCTTTTAGTACGCTTGGCCACTTATAGGACCTGAGGTAACATCAGCCATTAGATTTTGTTTTGAACAAGATAGAGTCCCTAAACCTGTTAATGCTAAAATTCTCTCTCTTATCCCTAAAGTTCCTCATCCATATGAAATGAAAAGCTTTAGACCCATTTCATGCTGCCATATCCTCTACAAATAGGGGTGACTATACGGTCCGGTCCGGTTAAATTGGACCAAATTGATCCGGTCCCAGTCCGGTCTTTTCGTGAATATAAGGACCAAAGATTGGATTGGATACACTCCGGTCTTGATCCGGTCCGGTCCCAATTTGATTTTAGATTGAGCTTGTGGGGATTTGAGTGTTGGGGTCTCTTATCCGGTCTTTATCCTGGTTTTTTTACCTCAAATCTAAGCCCGAATATGAGATTGGATTGTTTGCAATCCGGTCCCAGTCCGGTCCCGGTCCGGGTTATACGGTCCGGTTTCGGGTAAAACCAAACAGTCTTGGACCAAATTGCCAGCCCTATCTACAAATGCATATCAAAACTCATTGCTAATAGACTTAGTCCACTTCTCCCTTCTCTAATTAGCAAGAACCAAACAGCCTTTGTTAAAGGTAGACTCATAGAAGAAAATATCTTATTAGCTCATGATCTAGTCAGTAAATATTCTCATCAAAACGTCTCCCTAAAGTTGCTATCAAAATAGATTTGATGAAAGCTTTTGACTCAGTAGACTGGAATTTCATATTTCAAGTGCTTAAGTGTATGAAGTTTCCCGAGAGATTTGTGAACTGGATCAAAATGTGTGTGGGTACTCATATGCTAAGTGTTTGTTTTAATGGGGGATTGGTTGGATATTTTCCACCTACGAAAGTGTTTAGGCAAAGGGATCCCCTATCTCCTTATATGTATTCTATTGCTATGGAAATCTTTAAATGCTTGATTGATCACTCTGCTGCTAAGGGGGAATTTCCCTACCATCCTATGTGTAAGGGTATCAAATTAACACATCTGTGCTTTGTGAATGATCTTTTGGTTTTCTCGGATGCTTCAAATTTTGGAGTTCAAGAACTGCAAAGAATTTTGGCTTATTTTAAAAAGATTTATGGTCTTAAATCCCACCCTAGTAAATGTGAAATCTTCTTTGGTGGGCTGGATCGAGTTGAGACGAAGGTGAGAGCTGATAGATATGGATACCAACTAGGTGAATTCCCTGTTAGGTATTTAGGGGTTCCTTTGATATCTGGTAAACTTAGTGACTCACTCCTACTGTCACTCTAGAAATTGGCCAAGTGTAACCACTTCCTAAAGCGTAGTATAACGGGTTTGGGTTTTAATGTCAACCCGAGTCCTAGATGTGATGACTACTCAGTGAATTCTTATTATCTAGCGGTAAAACTTAAGTGCAGGTTCAAACAAACAAAAACACAAAGCAAGTTAAACGGTTGTTTTCAAGTCGAGAGAGGTCACCCGGATATGGTTCCCCCTATACTGCAGTTAAGCCGGATTGCAATTACCAAGTTCAGTTTCTATGATAGTTATACTGCGGAAGGTTCTAAAACAGTCTGAAGTCTCGACTAAAAGTCTCCAGACCCTCTCAATCTGAGTCTCCAGCGGGCGACTAACCTCCAACGGAGTAAACCGATTGAGGCCCTAACGAACAAAACCTCCACTACCGAAGTGAATTCGGTACAGAATAGTGAATTGGCTCCTCGACTAAAGTCGCCAATCCACTACCTTCAATTAAGGGTGCTCTATCAACCTAGGCAGATATTCTCTTTCTAGGTTAAAACAGAAACAACAGGAATTTGATCAGGATTCAAGTCATTCAATCATTCAAGCCTCAATTGAATATAATCAAATCATAAAATCTGTACTTGGGTTCATACAATCAGACCTAACATACAAATCTAGGGTTCTCCATACCCAGATGAATGGGAAAACTACTCCATAGAGAGAGAAGCAAAAGCAGATTTAGACGCGGAAATCATACTGTGAGGGATGAGTTTCTGCTCCTGGTTGTCAATCGGCACTTCTCCAAGCTCAAGCCGGGCTCCAATGGTGATGAAGATCAAGCTATTGCACTTGGGAACTCTGGTTCGTCACTTTCTCTCTCTAGGAATCGCTATGTCTCTCTAAAACTCGGAACCCCTGATTTTTGGTCTTCTTTTCCTTTAAAAAGCTACATGTCGCGATACCCGGTCGGGTATTTTGGGTCGCGACCGGGTATAATTGAAACGCGCGTTTTGATGTCAGGGGAAAATCCCTAGTCTATCCCAAGAATCCCCGACCGGGAGTTTTTGCCTCCTGCCCGGGCCCCCCTCTGTTTCTCACGGGTGCCCAAAACAATAAATACCCAGTCGGGTATTTGAGCCCATGACGGGGTATTTTCCTCCTGCAGCACACTTCGACCCAACTTTGTTCCTTTCGACCCAAAACTCGTTTCTTCGCCTCGATTCCAACGCCGGGCCCTGAAATATGACATAAACATACAACCTCGCGTGAAATCGGCTTAAAACACGAGAGTCAACCTCTCAAACGGCTCAAGAATAGGGGTAACACCATGTGTAATTATTGGTATATCACTTAGCCTGGTTGCTTGCAAGCCTCTCATTGATAAAATGGTTGCTAAAGTTAGAAGTTGGCAGGCAAGAGCTCCCTCGTATGCATGCTGAATAGAGTTAGTTGGAACAATATTATATAGCTTAACTCAATTTTGTATGTTGGTTTTCCTTCTGCCTAAATCTTTTATAAAGGAGGTGGAACAAATCTACAGTAACTTTATATGGGGGGTTGGAGTTGGAGTGAAGCTCAGAGCTAATGTGGTATGGCAGCAGCTGACTTACCCAAAGAAAGAAGGAGGTCTTGGGTTTAGGGACCTATGGAGCTGGAACCATGCCTGTATGACAAGACATATCTCGTTGATTCTTCTGCAAGAAGGATCACTTTGGGTGGCGTGGATAAATAGGTATAAGCTGAAAGGAAGAGATTTTTGGAGCTATACATATTCATCTAGGTCTTGGAATTGGAAAAATGCTGAAGCTACGGAGGAGAGTGGATCCGCTCATCTCAGTTAGAGGGGGGCTTCTTCTCTTGAATAATTCTCCAATGCCTTCCTTCTCTATAAAGCGAGTCTGGAAGCTTATACGCTTTGTCTAGCAGACTGTAGCTTGGTGGAAACTTATTTGGAAAGGCAAATCAATCCCTCGTAATCGTGTTATCACTTGGCTGGTTGTCTGGGGAAGGATTAATACTAAAGTGAAGATGCAGAAATGGGGTTTCACGGGAAGCATGGTCTGCTATCTGTGAAATGCAGGAGTTGAGGACAGAGACCATATTTATGTGCATTGTCCATACTCGAGGCAGATGTTTGATTCTCTATTTTGCAGGTTTATGCAGCTACCCTTGCTGCAGAGCTGGGATGATGAGTTAGGTCTCTTGATTTCAAAATTAAGTGGCATGATAGAGGCTGCTGAAACAGGGAGGATTATCTGGCAGGCGTGGGTGAGCCATATTTGGCATTAGGGATGGCAATGGGTCGGGTTGGGTCGGGTTTTGCCAAACCCAAACTCAAATCCATGGGTTTATACGTGAAAAAACACGGGTTAAAACCCACTGGTTTTGAAAAACTCAAACCCAACCCGTTGGATATCCGCGGGTTCATGGGTACCCACGGGTTTTGGTCGTAAAAAATTTACAATAACAAGTTCCTATCAAAATTAAAGTCAAATATCAATGTCTCAATACAAATTATCCATATATAAAACACCATTATAGAAAATTCAAGCAAATCACAAATTAACTATACAAATTGTTCAACGCCAATCTAGAAAACTCAAGAAAATTGAAGCAAATCACAAATTATTCATAAATAACATGATTAATTGAAAACTTCTTCCTTTCAATTAAGTTTCTTCACTCTCCACTCGATAACATCAACTTCATTCAACACAATTAGAAAGAAAAAATTAGACATGTCTCAACAGACATAAATAAGATTAGTTGTTTAGAATGTTAAATATAGCGAAAAAATTAATTATATGGGTGTGGGCGGGTACCCATGGGCCGGGTTTACCTAAACCCAAACCTAACCCAACCCGATGAATAGTGAAAGGGTTTAAACCTAAACCCGGCCCAAACCCCGTCAACATGGATTTTACCCGCGTTGATCGGGTTGAGTCGGGTGGGTACCCGTGGGTTCGGGTTTTTTTGCCATCCCTATTTGGCATGAGCGATGTCGTCATTTGTATGCGGGTGAGACACGAGATCTTCCTACCTTACTAAAGTTGATCAAGGCGGAGGTTGAATGTGTATTGAGCTAAAATCGAGTTAGTCTCTTTTGGGTTGTGTAACAATTTTGTTTTTCTGCGGGTGAATTGCAAATTTGGTCACCCATATTACTCATTTATAACACTTTAGCCATCCAAATAAAAAACCATTCAACTTAGCCTCCGAAACTACACATTTATGTCATATTTGGTCACTCACCATCTAGTTCCGTTAAATCTGTCCTACGTGGCAGTCAACTCCAATGTTTGACCGTTAAAAAGTTGATGTGTCAATTAAAAATAATAAAAACAGTTATTTTTATTTCCATGTCATACAAAAAACTAATAAATATTTATTTTCATACAAAACTAATTAATATAAATGTTGATAAACATAACCCACCGGCGTCGCCCTCACCTCTCCGTTGTCGCACTTCGCCGCCATTCCCTCTGTTCCTTCGTCTTCCACTTTGACCCTCTCTCTTCTTCTCTCAATTCAAGTCTCACCATCCCCTTTCACTCACCTTCTCCTACCCCCAACTTGTTGGCTTCCCATCATGATCATGGCGGAATCATAAGAATCACCAGTACCAGGAGGCGATAGAGTTGGAAATACAGAGGGGAAGCTCCGGCGATGCCCGATGTGGAGAAAGTTCTTGAATTTCTGAGCAGGAGTGGGTTGAAAGAGGTCGAATTGGCTCTCAAGGAGGATATCATCAAGAAGAATGAATTAGGATCTGTCTATTTTGAGAAATTCTTGTTCGAGCTGCCTCCGGTGAGGATTTCGTGGGCCAATTTTCTGCAATTGGAGGTTGGGGAAGAAGCTACCGCCGGCGGGGATTCTTTTGGAGATACATCGAATTCTTAGATAGTTGGCTCCGACGATGAGATCGGGAAAACCAAAAATTCAACCTCGCCCAAACCCCACTTCGCACTCGCCCATAAAACCAAAAATTTCCATTTTTCCCAGATCGGGAAACCCATTTGTTGTGATAACGCACCGGTGTCCTGAAAAAAGAGTTCGCCAAAGGCACCAGCAACGGAGATGGCTCCCCAAGAGAAACCATTTGTCCGAGTTAAAGCTATACGAGTCGCGGAACTCGGTGAATAATCTTAAGATCGACCCGTTTTCCACGAACTTTGCACCATTTGTTCTTTCTTTGGTCGATTTTCACAGATCTGAAAAATCCGCTTCCAGACCACATCGCCTGCCATCGTCTACACCTCTCACTAGTCAAAGACCGCAGGCGAGGAAGAAAACAACAAGGAAGTCACTGCTGAAGAACCCAAACAGAGGAATCCATCGCCGGATCTGAAGTCGGCTCGGTCATAACCTACCATCGGGAAACCTGCGACCAGCATTCTCATCTTCCCGGCGACGGCCACGAAAGCTCTGGCGCTACTCATCTTTGTAGTTAGCGTCGGAGGAGGAAGAGTTGAAGAGGGAGCAAGAGGCGGCCAAGATTTCCTGTTGGGGGCGAGGTGGGCGGTGGAAGGGGAAGGTTAGGCAAGGTTTTTTTTGCCTTAGTTTTAATTAAAAATTGTGAGTAGTAAAGTATAAAAGATTAAAATTTATTTTTAATTTCCATGTCATCATTTTAACGGTCAGACATAACTGTTGACCGCCATCTAGGACATATTTAACGGTGAGTGACCAAATATAACATAAATGTGTAGTATCGGTGCTAAGTTGAATGGTTTTTGATTCGGGTGGCTAAAGTGTTATAAATGAATAATATGGGTGACCAAATTTGCAATTCACCCGTTTTTCTGTCTTAGAGGCTGGTTTGTAGAATATTTTTATTAGACAGGTTATGTTCTCCACCATTTGGTTGGCCAAATCCTAGCTAGCAAGGTTTTTGCTAGAAACCCTTTCTTATGAATAATAACCCACCGATTCATTAAAAAAAAGTTGAAACTAAATGTCTGTGTTAAAGTGCCAGCGCAATGGTATGCTTTTTCAAGTAAATTCATGAGTCATGACTAGGTGTTTACTTCGCTAATGTGCCAGTTCTCTCTGCATTGTATTGACAGTGTGTTCACAATCCATGGATCTGATGACACAGTTGTCCCTGCTGGAGATGACTTCGCAAAGGTCATATTAAACCAGAAGCTACACATCATCCAAGGTGTTGATCATGATTCTCATCAAACCTCCTCACACGTAGTTTTGGAGTTCATAAAATCTAGACTGTATTAGCCGAATACAAGCTCTTCTACTGCCTAGAAAACCTTCTGGATTTGCAGGGTGCAGATATAGTTATTCTCATTAACATTATAACAATAGCTTCCAATTGATATCAGATTAATCCTTGTTCAAAAAAATGCTTGAACTTCTGACGATGTATTAGTCATTGTCGAGACTTTCCAGTGGTAAGAAGTTTTTATGAGTTCTGCTAATTTAATATTCACAACGGAGACTAACCAGTGGTATAAGAAGTGTTATGAAGTTTTATTCGCGTTGATCTCTATATTTTCGTGTTGCTTTTTGGCATATAATTCGTCTTTTAAATTCGGGCTGTTTAATTCTTATCCACAAATATTTATGAGATTTAAATCATCAGTTTGGTGTTGTCTTCATATCTTTATTTGTAAAAATTTAGAACTTACTGTATTTGCTGCAACCGAGCTTTTAAAATAAGTGGAAAATTGGTGAAGCTCTAATTCATACACAATATATATGCGTGTACTTTTCCCGTGTTAGAGTTGCTAACTTAATAATTAAAGTAATAGAGTTTAAAATGTGAAATCCTGGACAAGAAGGTTTTCAACATGTCCAAAAATTCAATGTCCGTCTCCATTACCGTTTCTTTATCATCTAGGAAAAGGCCAAGGTTGTCAAACTAGTTTATATCAGTGTGCCGGTTTTGTAGGTGGAATGGTCTGACCGTGGTATAACCAGTATTCATGCCGGTTGTGCCGGTTTTAATAAAACACATGAGGAAAATGGAAATCCTCAATTCCAAATAAATTAGTCATGAAAAAAGCAATCAAAAGAATTATTTCACGCAAAATAATTTATAGCTAATAATTGGTAACTAATACTAAACAATTAGATGCTTAAAAATAAAATTTTATTAATGTTTATAATGATTTGTGTAACATTTAGTATTAGATATATAACATATAAGGTTAATATAGACAACAAAATTGCTTGTAGCCTACTGTGTATATGTTAAACTAAAATGAACATGAGGTACTTGGTTCAAATCCTATGGAGGATGTTTGTTTTTGGATATAATGTGTGTAACATTAAATTCCGGTTTCAGGTCTAACCGGCCGGAATTTCCGGATTTGACCGAATCTCACCGGCATTGACTGGATTTGACCACAGTTAATTATCGGGCCCTTTCCAGCCGGTTTGCTGACCGGTACCGGTTGAACCGGCCGGCATGAAATCGGTTTGACAACCATGGAAAAGACCTTGCTATTTTCTTTTAATTTAAGGAGAGAGTTGATTTTTACTAATAAAGAAAGATGTCAATATATTTGCCATTGGTATTTGGTAATGTCATCAAAATCAAAACCTATTTATATAGTCGAAACAATATCTATTTAAATATATTAATAAGTCAGATTCATTAGTGCGTGAACAAATATTCTTTAAATACAAAATGATGTATTACTACTAAATCAAAACCAAAATAAAACATACTATTGCTCTTTCTTTAAAACAGACCAACTCGTCGGGCTCGAAACTAGCTATGACAGCCAACCAGTATCACCGCTCTCTCAAATTCATTCTCGGCTCATTTTTGTACCTAGACTCCAACAGATCTCTCAGCCCTGACAACTGATTTTTGTCCCTCATCGGTTCGATAGATTTTCTTACCCGCACAATATTCATATTTCATGTATAATCAAAATAATTGTTATAGTGTCTGCTTCTATTTATCCTCTCTTGTCGTCCCTGCAGCTATCTTTTTACATCGTTGTTGAAACAAAATAAGTGTTAATCTTTCCCACCAACTCGCGATTCAACCATCGTTGAGGTTGGGAATCTATGAGGAACTATACTATTTACTGGAGCGGAGTTTCGCAACGGTCTATAGTTTCCGCCAAGGTATGTTTTTTCTCCAATGAGTCTTACATAGCTCCCTCTGTTTTTTATTACTTCGTGGCTAGTTATAGAAATCAAGCTGAAAAGAATTAGCCAGTTCAATAGTGATGTACTGATATTGGGGTTTTATACTTATGTTTGCAAAGTTGCGTGAATCACTTTTGGGAAATTTTTGGTCGTTTTCTATGCATTTCAACGTAACTTCAAAATTGTTATTATAGATGAGTTTTGTTTCGTCATCATAAAAAATTTACGTAATACTTAACATAAAAATTTGAGCTTTGAGTTGATTGAGAAGTTAGACAAATTTTGCGGGTGTTGAATTTGATTCAAATGTATAACTGAAATATGATCCAAAAGTCCTTTAGGGGACATCTGATAAAATTGAAATATATGGTCCAAACGATGTTCATTTTTGTTTTTGAATATCAAATTGGTTTTATTTCTTTCTGAAGTCACAAATCTTTTTTCATAAAATTCAATTTCTACGAAAATCGACTGTATATTTTTTTTATTGGAACCTGACTTCATTAATTAATTATAAAACTTACAATAGTCATCAGGTTTACTTGGAATCTAATTTCAGACCCTCAACTTCAATTGAAGGAGGTCTTTCGGCCCAAAAACATTATTGGCCCCAATTTGTTTTAATATGGGCAAAAACATGGCAACGTGATTTGATTTTCTTGTTGCATAAAACCACCTTACAGAATTATTTCCCGTCCATCTATCCGCCTCATCCTTCATCAACCATGCTCTTACACAATAGCTTCCAATTTCTGTCCTATCTCCCACCACTTCATTCATCAACCTGATAAGATTCTCACAATCGCTCTCAATAATCAGAGGTAGAAACCCTCACTCCAACGCCTCTTTTATTATTGAAACCATCGATCTGGCCTCCGCCTCTTCTGGTTGACACGCCCCTCTTTCCCGATGAGCCCTACCCATTGCAATCCCTAATAACTCCTCCAATTCCAATTTCTTTACCATCCACAATTCAAACATCTACATTAAGCTTAAAGACCCCCTTATCTGGACGAACCCATCTCTTTGGGATTTGTAGCCTTGCATGCGTTTGAATTGATTTTTGCCCCTGAATTTCGAGGTAATCCTGGATCCAGCTTATAGCCTTCGGTATTATATCTTCTTCCTCTATTTTCTTTCTAATAAACTTATGCATATTTTTTTCATTCAAAAGAGACCAGATTATAGCAGCAAACCTTTGTATTGTTTCCTCTGGGAATTTCTCAAAAATAGAGCATAACCATTTTGGGCATTCAAGATTATCACCAACCTCGAAACACTCCTTCTCCAGACTCAACTTCCACAATTTGCTCGTCCAACCACAATCCCGGAGCGCATGTTCAGGAGTCTCGATTAAGCCACTGAATGGACACTCCGGACCAGCTTTCGTTGATTTTTCGACCAGCCAACTCCCTGTAGGTACTGCTCTCATACTCATTCTCCATAGGAACGTCTTCACCTTCATAGGCATCTTGGTTTTCCATAGTTTAGACCAGTTTTGTGCCCGAGCATGAGTGAAATTTGTGTCTCTTTTCTTAATCGGGTGATACAACTCTCTGTATCTTCTATACCCCGATTTAATTGTATACTTTCCACCCTTGTCATGAATCCATACTCTCCTGTCTTGAGTAGCTGAATCTATAATGAGAATTGCTCTAATTTAATCACAATCCTCTTCTGAAAATAGTGTGCTTAACAGATCCCCGTCCCAAGTATTTGTCTCCCAATTTATGAGTGAAGATACCTTGAGAGATCATTCACTTCCAACCGGATATTGATCCAGGCAGTAGCTGGGTTTTCTAGGGATCCATCTGTCTTGCCAAGCTCTGGTTTGATCTCCATTACCCACCCTCCATCGTAGGCCATCTTCCAAGAGATCCTTAGCTCCCATTAAGCTCCTCCGCACATAACTCGCATCATGCCCAATTGTAGTTTGCAAAATATCAGTCGAAGGATGATACTAGCTTTAATGACTCTAGCCACCAAAGCTTCAGTTTTATTCATAAGGTTCCACACTCGTTTTGCAACCATTGCCATATTGAAACCTTTCAAATCTATAAATCCAAGTCCTCCCTCACCCTTAGTGTCACATAATCGATTCAAATTAACCCAATGGATCTTTGATTCCTTTGCTTTTTGTTCCCACCAGAAACTGGAAAGGAGTCCCTCGATTACATCCAAAATGCCATCTGGGATTTTGAAAACCATCATAGGATATAGAACTTGCGCTTGTGCAACAAGTGTTTTATTTAATCCAAACTCCAAACAAATACTTAAAATATTTGAGATGTTTGTCAATATGGTAGCTTGGACAATCCTTTTACGTCATTTTCAACTCTTAGAAATAACAAATATTCTTCGTGAAACTTATTTTTTAATTATAATCTTTTTAGATTGTTGTTGACCACAAAGGAATTTTATAGGATTTGGCAAAAAAACTCGAAAACAGTATACTATGTTCGAACTTTGTGATATTCTACGCAATAAAAAATAGTATTCGTGATAAGTTCGAAAACACAAATATTCTTCGTGATATTATTTTTTTATTATAATTTTTTTAGATTGTTGTTGACCACAAAGGTTCTTTTATAGGAGTTGACCAAAAAGTTCGAACACAGTATAAGGTGTTCAAATTTTGTAATATTCTTCGTGATAAGTTGGAACGCTTAAATATCCTTTCATTTTAACGGTAGGCTAATCCCTTCGAGTTTCTAATGTGGTTTTCAGTCCATATTGTCTTAGTTTTGTTCGTATAACAGAAAATCAAGTTATTTATGACAAATATTATGAATAAATACTTTTATAATTTATGAGAACATTAAAAAGTACAACATTTTATTCTAAAATATGGAAAAAAAATATAGATAGTGTAATTTAACATGAACCAATCGACAAAAATACACAAAACCAATTCAATAATATCACAAACAACGTCAACCATAAATATTACTTTCAAATCATACATAAATTATATAAAACTAAAGTTCCCAAATTAATTAAAATATAAATATACTGATAAAATAAATTATACAAAATAAAATGAAACTGATTCGACCAACAACCAGGGAAAATCTAGTGTTATTAACAAACGAAATGGAAGAAACAGGTGGGGTGAGAAAAGTGGAAGAGTGTAGTGGATTTATGTTTTTTATATTAATCAAATTCATTAATAATTTAAAATGGCATCCTTGTATTTCTAGGGATTTTCCCTTTTATCTAATGGCTATTATTGACTTAAGCAACTACGTTTAAGGACCCGATCCTAACTGAAAATGGGATCGTGGGCGGTGGACGAGCTGGGTCAAGGGTTTGATCTTTGTATTTTAATCAAGGTTGTCCACTCGCGGTTTGACCTGGATTGACTCAGATTTGATGAAGAAAACAAGCGCAACACGTCCGCAGGGTCGACCCGTAGCAAGGTTATTGGATTGGAGGTCACACTGCGTCATTTTTTCAATTGGTTTGCAAATCGCATCTCTTTGTCGGTTTCCCCCTTCGCCTAAACCAATCTTTTAGAATTCTAAGTTGAAATTTGAATATTGATTTTCTATGAATTTATTTTTGTCCAATGGTATATGTTATTACCAATATAATTATATGAGATTTGATATAATTTATATATGTATGAATAATATAATAACTATTTTCATATAGTTGACTCGCTCCGACTATCACAATAAAATCTCACCAAAGGCTCAAGTATAAATCTTAGATGGGTACAATATAGGGCAAGTATGTAAAATATCAACCCGGGCTGACCCATGTACCGCTACTTCGATTGTTTGAAACATTATCTAGCGGATTGTTGTTTGTTGAAATCTCTACAATCTACAATTTAAAAGCAAGACTTTGAAAAGTAAAAGGGTGGAAAACTCTTGGTGAGAAGCTTCACTCGGGTGATGCTTCTCCCTAACTAACTACCATGAACCGTGGGATCGAATGAACCGGCGTGTGACGAGGCAATTGTGACCACTAGGAGGTGCAACAATGGTTAGAAACCATCCTCTCAATTGCTATGCCAATGTAAGCATTAGAGGCTACAATTGTAGCCCTCTTGGCATAAGCGATTGAGGGTTGACTTACCTTCTCCCTCAAACCAAGGCTTGGAAGGTATAATCACAATTAACCTAGGTGTCTAATTCAAGTAGAGGATTGCCCTTCATTAACCTAGTTAGGAGGCATGGAATGTCTAAGAAAAGCCAGCTCAATTTTGAGCTTCTTAATTAGATAAGGGGGCTTCTCTCTAACCTAGGTTAGAATAGCACAATAGATTGCCAAGCAAACAATATGCATAATCACCATGAAAAATACCTCAATTCTTAAATTAAACACTACCATCACACAACCATTCAATACACACAATCAATTACATGATAGTAGTTAGGTTTCTACGACACCCAAATGAAAAGGGGAACTACTCCATACTAGACAAAGGAAGAGCACTAAAGAGGAAGAAAGAAACGATCATTGTAATGTCGCCAACTCTCCTTGTGCTTGTAGAGATCCTCCAAAGAAGAGGAGCTTCCAAAATCTTCACTTGAAGCAAACCCTAGCCTCTTCTCCCTCTTGGTTCGTGACTTTCTCTCTCTAGCGTTTCAAGAAGAAGAAGGTTTCACTCACTTTGGGCTCTCCTTTCTTCCTCCTTTTAGCTGACTTTTTATAATGAGATCGCGCCCAGTTTACGGCCATGATCATCAAAACGCGTCCGTGAGCTAAGTGAGTTGGATCAAAACGCACCGCTTCACTTATGGGGTTCACGGTTTGTGGTTCCAGTTCACGGTCTTAGAGACCGTGAACTGCCTTGGCGTCAGTAACCTCAGAAACCCCTCTGGACGCTTCACGGTTCACAGATTGTCGTTCCCGTTCACAGTATTGGCGACCGTGAACTCCAATGCTGGACCGTGACTGAATCGTTCTCTTTGCCCGGTCTTTGCTCATTTTCTTCCAACTTTCGACTCCGGGGTTGGTTCACCGGTTAGACTCTGAAACACATTGAAACACAAGAAATCTAGCATAAAACCACCCCTTTTGGAGCTCAATTGTCACAAACATCAAAGAAAAACGGGAATAAAAAATGTACAGTTAGACTCGAATCAATACTCATGTTAAACTGGACTAAAGTAATTGGACTATTAACACTAAACTCACTTACCCTGCCAACGGACTAATTTGGGTTTACAACCTTGCTTTGAACACATTTAGAATAAAATAAAAACTTCGGTTTGGCCAAATATTCCTTCGATGCAAATCCATTCTTATTTAGAAACAGACCGAAACAAGGACAAGAAATCACAATCCAGTCTTATCTGTTCTCTATATCATTCCCCCGCTCTCACACTGAAAAACCAAAGTCTTAATCAAGCAGAGTACGTAGCTAGGCTAGCTATCTAACTCTGCATTTCACTTGCAGCTTTCGAGCGGGGCGCCGCACAAGCACCGATTATGGAAGTAAGCAGAGGAATCGAAGCTCTGCAACTGCCCACCGGTCGGAATCTTCCCACACAGCCGATTGTAGCTCACATTCAAGAACTGCAGATCCGAATCCACCGCCGCCGCCGGTATGCTCCCGTAGATCTTGTTGTGATTCATATCCAAACTCGTCATGTTGGGGGGAAACACCGCCACTTTAGAGAAATCGAATTCGAACAAATTCCTCGAAATGTCCACAGACAGCACGCTCTTCTCCGCCCCGAACAGCACCGACGCGTCGCCTTGCAATTGGTTCCTCGACAGATCGATGGCGAAGTCGGTGTTGTAGTTGGCCAGCGAGGGCGGGATCCCGCCGGAGAGCCGATTGTGGGAGAGGTAGAGAGAAGGGAACTTCCCCTTGAAGCGGCCGAACGAGGCCGGGATGGGCCCGGTGAGATTGTTCCTGTCGAGGTGGAGCGCGTCGAGGTTGGGCAGCTCGGCGAGTTCGCTCGGGATCGACCCGGTGAGCGAGTTGAAGGACAGATCCAGAAAGGTCAGGTTCTTGAGCCGGGATAGCCACCCAGGAACCGGACCGGTTAAGTTGAGGCGGTCGAGCCGGAGGAAGTTAAGGTACTTGAGGTTAGCGATTGCGGGCTGGACAGGACCCGTGACGTTGGTGAGCTTGCGGAAGATGAGCTTCTGCAGGAAAGGGAGGTCGCCGATTGCCGTCGGGAGCTGGCCGGAGAGCTCGCCGGCGAAGACGGTGAGGGCAGTAATGCGGTTGGTGGTTGGGTCGCATTCGACTTGGTACCAACTAGTGCAGCAATCGGCGTCGGGGTGCCAGGAGGCGAGGAGGTAAGGGTTGCCGAAGCTTTCCTTGATCTTGAACAGAGCGGCCTTGTCTCGTGGATTGCAGCGCTCCGTCTTGCCGACGGCGGCTGATAGGAAGAGGCAGAGCAGAAGAGTTCTTAGTAGTAGTACTTCTCCTCTCATTTTGTTTCCGATCGATTTTAGGTTGTGGTGGCCAAGGGATTGATGAAAGGTTTGTCTTTATAGTGATAGCCTGCCTAATAGGACAGGGAGGAAATTTTGAATTTGCTTCCTTCGTTCCTCCCTTTTGTCAAATGTCAATGGGTCTACTACTCTACTCTTTTAATTGATTTATTAGACAGCTCACAACTGGTTGCCGCGCAATCAAGTGTGTTTGCGGCCGGGATATGACTATAGGTGTCAATCGGGCGGGTTCGGGCTGGGTTCAATCGGGTTCGGGTTCAAACGGGTTGCGGGTTAGTCGGGTTGCGGGTTCATCGGGTTCGGGTTCAAACGGGTTGCGGGTTAGTCGGGTTGCGGGTTCATCGGGTTCGGATTCAATCGGGTTGCGGGCAAATCGGGTTGCGGGTTCATCGGGTTTTGGGTCGGGCGGGTTGCGGGCGGGTCGGGTTTCGGGTTGTTCGGGCCAGCGCATCAAGTAAATTAACTCATTACTCATTACCAACTTACACATTTTATTACACTAATTTAAAATATTTTCTCAACTTTTTAACCAATTTATTTCTACCTCGTATATATATACTTTATTTTTTTTGAAAAAAACTAGTCAAAATGTTAAATCAATTTGTATGACTTGCAAACTTGTTATATAATTAATCATAATTGGTAAAGTATTATAGCTAATAGTAATGGTGATATCAATATTTGCAACCAAAAGACACCGTTAGTTGTTTATTTGATATTTTAGTATTAATTCAGTAGTAATTGGATTAAAGTATCTCGTTTAGTATAACCATGCAAATCTGGTATTTGGCGTGTGGTATTTGGCAAAAGCATGGTGATAAAAGGAGTTATTTCAAAATAACTCATTGCCAAAATAACTTTTAGTAAACTGTTGCCAAACGAGTTATTTGTAAAATTGTTCGAATTATCCTAAAAATTGAACCATTAAAGATTAGCTATCAAATTTAGTAAAATTATTGTGACTTCAATCATAACTTACTCAATAGCATATATCCTATACACTTAGCTTTACCCTCAATCAACATTATTAAGTTAGTATATGTTGTTGATTGTATACCCTAAACCATCAATACATTATACATTAACCACATAACTTATACCCTAACCATATGTCCTTGCACTACAGGAAAATTGGTTTCTAGTCACGGTAACTTATTCATGATAATTATTCCCGTACTAAAAAGTATGTAATAGTCACGGTAAAAATTCTCGTATTTGATTGTATAGTTCTAATCACGGTAATTAATTTAACTGTTATGTATTCTTCATTTACCGTGATTAATTGTTAGTCACGGTTAATTCCCGTGAATAATGCGACACTTGACCATTTGGTACCAAATGAATTCTTATGTTTGGTACGCCAAATTCAAACCTATAGAAATAAAATTATTTGAATTCTCAAACCATGTTTGGCATACGTTGAGAATTGAATACAGTTAAAAGTTTTCAACTACACCCTTATTAACTTCTGGCCGAAAAAGTATTCAATGAAAACCGATCTTCTAAAAAACGTCTCTTGTCCCATACGTAGAATATCACAAGTGTTCTTGTGTGTTTGTATTCTATTAATTAGTTCTTTTCTAATATTTCGTCGATGAACCATGCAATCTAGTTGTGACTTCTCAACATAATGATACTATCAAAGAAGAAATATCAAATAACCAGTATATGCTACTAGCGATGCAATCAAATTCTTATCGACGTTCATCTTACGGTATTAATTGGCGTCAAATAATTTATGTAGAAGTAATTTAGCTATTAAATGGGGTTTAATTATGTCATTCTATTATAATTAGTAAATCCTTGTGAAATTCATTTGAAAATTTCATCTCAATTACTCGAAATTGATATAACTACTTTTAATTTTGTAGAATTCAAAAGTTTGAATTGAAAATTAATTATTATAAATACTGAACACAAAAAGATTTAATTTCAAAATGAATTTATTATAACTTATGAAATGCATTTATTACCAAACAATATCTTTATCTTTAAAAAATAAGGGAGAATTTGTTTTATCCAAAAAATTGCTTTGCCTCCAAAAATTCTTTTGACTCCAAAAAATTTGCTTTAATCGAGAACAACACCAAAATTAACCCGCCACTCCCAATTGTTTTTGGCTCCAAAATTTTGGTTCTCACCGCCACTTTTTTGTTCCACTAAAATTAACCCTTTTTCCCTCTTTCTACCTTCTGTTTAGGGATGGCAATGGGTCGGGTTGGGTCGGGTTTTGCCAAACCCACTGGGTTTGAAAAACTCAAACCCAACCCAACCCGCTGGGTACCCACAGGTTTTTGTCGTAAAAAATTTACAATAACAAGTTCCTATCAAAATTAAATTAAAATATCAATCTCTCATTACAAATTATCCATATTTAAAACACAATTCTAGAAAATTCAAGCAAATCAAAAATAAACTATACAAATTGTTCAACACTAATCTAGAAAACTCAAGAAAATTGAAGCAAATCACAAATATCCATAAATAACATGATTAATAGAAAGCTTCTTCCTTTCAATTAAGTTTCTTCACTCTCACTAGATAACATCAACTTCATTCTACACAATTAGAAAGAAAAAAATAGACATGTCTCCACATACATAAGTAAGATTAGTTGTTTATAATATTAAATATACCAAGAAAATTAATTATATGGGTGTAGGCGGGTATCCATGGGTCGGGTTTACCTAAACCCAAACCCAACCCGGTGAATAGTGAACGGGTTTAAACCCAAACCTGGCCCAAAACCCGTCAACACAGATTTTACCCGCGTTGACCGGGTTGGGTCGGGTGGGTACCCGTGGGTTCGGGTTTTGTTGCCATCTCTACTTCTGTTCCACCGCTCACTCCTTCCTCTCTTTCCATCCATAGCTAAAAAGTGATATTTGCTAATTGTTATACCCTGACCATATATCCTATACTTTACACCAAATACCTTGTACCCTAACCACGTACCATAAACATAAATTAAAAAGGGATCTCCTGCCGTTAAAGACTTCAAATGACTTCAAGTGAACATATGTTAATAAAAAAATTAGAACCATCAATATCTTATACCCTAACCATATACACCCTAAACCATATGTACCTTATACCTTATACCCTAACCATATACTTTATATCCTAAACAACGAACCGTCAAAGATTACTTATCAAGTTTAGTATAAATTGTTGTAACTCATGGTTAATTTATTTATTAGCCCATACAAAATTACATACATATATACATATTAGCTTTCAAAGCATATAAGAATAATTTTAACTAGTCATGCCCTCCATATAAAAGTTAAAGATTCATATTTCAAAAGCTAAAATTATGAAAAAACCAAAAAATTGAAAACACCAAATTTGTTTCCTTCTTTCTTTTCACAAAAATACTAAAATTTCCCTCCTTCTTTCTCCTTCCATACATTAGAAAAACTCAATTTTCCCTCTTCTTTCTCTTCCATAAAATTGAAGAACCAAATTATCCTCTTCTTTCCTTCTACAAAAAGTTGAAAAGTCAAAAGTTTCCCTCCTTATTTCTCTTTCATAATCAAAAGAATCAAACTTTCCCACTTCTTTCTCTTTCCACATATCAAAACCACCAAATGTTATGGATGCGTTGCTCTTCTTTCCTTCTACAAAAAGTTGAAAAGTCAAAAGTTTCCCTCCTTATTTCTCTTTCATAATCAAAAGAATCAAACTTTCCCACTTCTTTCTCTTTCCACATATCAAAACCACCAAAATTCCCACTTGTTTCTTGTTTCCTTCTTTCTTTTCACAAAAATACTAAAATTTCCCTCCTTCTTTCTCCTTCCATACATTAGAAAAACTCAATTTTCCCTCTTCTTTCTCTTCCATAAAATTGAAGAACCAAATTATCCTCTTCTTTCCTTCTACAAAAAGTTGAAAAGTCAAAAGTTTCTCTCCTTATTTCTCTTTCATAATCAAAAGAATCAAACTTTCCCACTTCTTTCTCTTCCCACATATCAAAACCACCAAAATTCCCACTTGTTTCTTTTCTAAAAAAATCAAAGAACCAAATTTCCCTCTTCTTTCTCTTCCCAAAAACTTGAATACACCAAAATTTTCCTCTTCTTTTAAAAACATCAAATTACCAAATACATTACTTTACTTTATTTAATTGATAATTTTATTGAATAGTTAAATTAACCAAAATTTTAATTTATATATTATATTAATATTGTCATGATCTCAAGTGACCTTCATGTTTCAATTTTTGTAATATTCTTAAAATACGTAATATCAAGTGAGTTTCATATTTTTAAAATTTCTTATACGAAATGAAAGTTTTACTTAAGTTTAGAATGAAAAACTTTATTTTGAAAAACTATGTATTGTATATTTTTCTAATTATTCAAGTGGATTAGATGAAATTCGGGTTGAGTCGGTCGGCTTACGGGTTAGTCGGGTTCGGGTCAATCGGGTTCGAGTTAATCGGGTAGCGGGTCAGTCGGGTTGCGGGTCAATCGGGTTCGGGTTAGTTGGGTTGCGGGTCAATCGGGTTGCGGATCGGGCGGGTTACGGGTTGTTGACTTTTAGTCAATTCGAGTTGCGGTCGGGTTGCGGGTCGGATTAATCGGGCGGGTTAATCGGGTCGGGCTATGTTTTGACACCTATAGATATGACCAGAGACCAGAGACTATAGTGGACAACATGCATTGGATTCGATCCACGTTTTAAACTAACCATGCTAGATTGATGCATCAATTCTATTACGATTTATTGCCCTTAAATTTTATATTACATGTTCACATAAAATCCAAGCTAACAAGGATCTCATATTTATTAATCCTTGCACTCACTCTTTCTCCAAATCCATTGTTTGCCTCTTCCATCTCTCTTTTCTCCCTTCGAATCACCAACAATTAGGGGTGTGCAACGGTTCGGTCTGTACTGAATTATAGCGGTCCAAACCGACACTTGGATCTGACCACACTGAACCGAGTATAATATGGTCATGTTCTTGATCTTACAAATTTTATAAATACTCGAAAAAATGA